TTTAACTGACAATTGCGCGGTCATGCAGCGCTGCACCCAAATGAAATTTACATCCTTTTTTTTTCCCCCAAATTGAGCTTTCTTTCGGTGGTATTGGATCGCCTCTGCTTTGTTTTTTTGAGCTATAAGCAAAAAAAGACCGACAATTTTGAGAAAAAAAACAATATTTTGGTTTTTTTGCTTTTAAACATGTCCAGTAAAAAAATTAAAAAAAACAAATTTTGTCATAAATTTTGGCCAAAATGTATTCCGCTCTGTGTCTTTGCTAAAAAAAAAATAAATCCCAATACGTGTAAATTAATCGGTTTTTCTACTAGTAATGGCGGCGATCAGTGTCTTTTAGCGGGACTGTGGTGGCATTCTGACACTGGGGGGAACTAACTTGGTGTCACTGACACCCCCAGTGACACCAATACAGTGATCAGTGCTAAAAAAAAAAAAGCACTGACACTGTATTAATGGTACTGGGCAGGAAGGGGTTAATGTGAGGGGCAAACAAAGGGTTAACTGTGTGCAGGGAGTGTTTTACTAGGGGGCAAGGGGTGTGTTCTTCACTCTGAACACGCTGATAAGGATCACTTTTACATCAGAGAATCACCAGCTGCAAAACAACAGTACCGGGATCATGACTGTAGCTGCAATCGTATTCCTGGTGTAACCACTTCAACCCACCGCCGTTTATAAATGGTGAACAGACAGGAAGTGGTTAAAGTGTTGTTTGTGTCACTGTAGCCCTGCAGGTGAGTGCCTTATATAGGTCTGGGGGGGCGGGGTTTATGGAGCAGCACTTAAGCGTGATTGGATACCTTGGGGTTATGAGTGGCTGCCATTATTTGAGTTTTTTGTGATGGGCCTGGTGGTGATCTTCTGCTGGTGACAGCTTTCTCCAGCATTGGACATCCCACTCCAGTGTCGGCCATCTCCCCCCAATATCAGCCATCCCCTTCCATTGTCGGCCATCTCCCCCCAATATCAGCCATCCCCCTCCAGTGTCGGCCATCTCCCCCCAATATCAGCCATCCCCCTCCAGTGTCGGCCATCTCCCTCCAATATCAGCCATCCCCCTCCAGTGTCGGCCATCTCCCTCCAATATCAGCCATCTCCCTCCAGTGTCAGCCATCTCCCTCCAATATCAGCCATCCCCCTCCAGTGTCGGCCATTTCCCTCCAATATCAGCCATCCCCCTCCAGTGTCGGCCATCTCCCACCAATATCAGCCATCCCCCTCCAGTGTCGGCCATCTCCCTCCAATATCAGCCATCCCCCTCCAGTGTCGGCCATCTCCCTCCAATATCAGCCATCTCCCTCCAGTGTCAGCCATCTCCCTCCAATATCAGCCATCCCCCTCCAGTGTCGGCCATCTCCCTCCAATATCAGCCATCCCCCTCCAGTGTCGGCCATCTCCCACCAATATCAGCCATCCCCCTCCAGTGTCGGCCATCTCCCTCCAATAATGGCTATCCCCCTCCAGTGTCGGCCATCTCCCTCCAATATCAGCCATCCCCCTTCAGTGTCGGCCATCTCCCACCAATATCAGCCATCCCCCTCCAGTGTCGACCATCTACCTCCAATATCAGCCATCCCCCTCCATTGTCGGCCATCTCCTCCCAATATCAGCCATCCCCCTCCATTGTCGGCCATCTCCCTCCAATATCAGCCATCCCCCTCCATTGTCGACCATCTCCCTCCAATAATGGCTATCCCCCTCCAGTGTCGGCCATCTCCCTCCAATATCAGCCATCCCCCTCCAGTGTCGGCCATTTCCCTCCAATATCAGCCATCCCCCTCCAGTGTGTCAGCCATCTCCCTCCAATATCAGCCATCCCCCTCCATTGTCGGCCATCTCCCTCCAATATCAGTCATCCCCCCTCCAGTGTCGGCCATCTGCCCCCAATATCAGTCATCCCCCTCCAGTGTCGGCCATCTCCCCCCAATATCAGCCATCCCCCTCCAGTGTCGGCCATCTCCCTCCAATATCAGCCATCCCCCTCCATTGTCGACCATCTCCCTCCAATCCAAATGGCTATCCCCCTCCAGTGTCGGCCATCTCTCTCCAATATCAGCCATCTCCCTCCAATACTGGTCATCTGCCACCAATATCTGCCACCAATAACAGTCATCACCTTCCTGTTTTAATTTTGCTTTGTTACTTTATTCTCTTTATATTTTCTGTTCCCATTTCTGCATTTTATTGTTTTGGTTCCTCTGGACGATCTGCACTCCTGATCTTGGCACGGTAAATAAAATCTGATGTCATGTATGTAGAGAGGGATATCGCTGCATCTTGGTAGGGTGTGATTGATCATTGTACATGCCTAGGCTAGACCTAAACATGAAGACACAGCACAATGCAGAACGAGTCTGACGATCCGCCCCGGCATCTTGGCATTGCTTATCATTCACAATATCATGTTTGTCGTTTGCAGCCTCGGCAATTATCTGAAGGCCTGAAAAGTCCCATTTACATCAGAAAAGAAAAGCGAGCCATCAAATGTGCATTATGTGCTGATCAGTCGGGCAGTATAGACCATCCAAGTGTATGCGAAATGCATCTGTGTACCTTCTTCGTGTACTCATCACCTAGAACAGGGGTCTCCAAACATCAGCAGGCCAGAGGCGGCCCTTTCCTAACATTTATCCAGCCCTTGGGGCACTATTCCTCCCACGGATACCAAGGATGGGGCACTATTCCTCCCACGGATACCAAGGATGGGGTACTATTCCTCCCACTGATACCAAGGATGGGGTACTATTCCTCCCACGGATACCAAGGATGGGGTACTATTCCTCCCACTGATACCAAGGATGGGGTACTATTCCTCCCACGGATACCAAGGATGGGGCACTATTCCTTCCATGGATACCAAGGATGGGGCACTATTCCTCCCACTGACACCAATGATGGGGTATTGTTCCTCCTACTGACACCAATGACGGGGCACTATTCCTTCCATGGATACCAAGGATGGGGCACTATTCCTTCCATGGATACCAATGATGGGGCACTATTCCTTCCATGGATACCAATGATGGGACACTATTCCTCCCACTGACACCAATGATGGGGCACTATTCCTCCCACTGACACCAATGATGGGGTATTGTTCCTCCTACTGACACCAATGATGGGGCACTATTCCTCCCACTGATACCAATGATGGGGCACTGTTCCCCCCACTGACACCAATGATGGGGCACTGTTCCTTCCATTGACACCAATGATGGGACACTATTCATCCCACTAACACCAATGATGGGGCACTATTCCTCCCACTGACACCAATGATGGGGCACTATTCCTCCCACAGTCACCAATGATGGGACACTATTCCTCCCACTCACACCAATGATGGGGCACTATTCCTCCCACTGACACCAATGATGGGGCACTATTCCTCCCACTCACACCAATGATGGGGCACTATTCCTCCCACTGACACCAATGATGGGGCACTATTCCTCCCACTGATTCCAATGATGGGGCACTATTCCCTCCCACTCACACCAATGATGGGGCACTATTCCTCCCACTGATACCAATGATGGGGCACTATTCCTCCCACTGACACCAATGATGGGGCACTATTCCTCCCACTGACACCAATGATGGGGCACTATTCCTCCCACTGATACCAATGATGGGGCACTATTCCTCTCACTGATACCAATGATGGGGCACTATTCCTCTCACTGATACCAATGATGGGGCACTATTCCTCCCACTGACACCAATGATGGGGCACTATTCCTCCAGCTGATACCAATGATGGGGCACTATTCCCCCCACTGACACCAATGATGGGGCACTTTTCCTCCCACTGACACCAATGATGGGACACTATTCCTCCCACTGATACCAATGATGGGGCATTATTCCTCCCACTGACACCAATGATGGGGCACTATTCCTCCCACTGACACCAATGATGGGGCACTATTCCTCTCACTGATATCAATGATGGGGGGCACTATTCCTCCCACTAATACCAATGATGGGGCACTATTCCTCCCACTGACACCAATGATGGGGCACTATTCCTCTCACTGATACCAATGATGGGGCACTATTCCTCCCACTGACACCAATGATGGGGTACTATTCCTCCAGCTGATACCAATGATGGGGCACTATTCCCCCCACTGACACCAATGATGGGGCACTTTTCCTCCCACTGACACCAATGATGGGACACTATTCCTCCCACTGACACCAATGATGGGGCACTATTCCTCCACTGACACCAAAGATGGGGCAGTGTTCAGTCCAGCACGCATTCTTCCAACTGATACCAATGGGATGGAGGGAAGTAATCCCGCTTCATCGGTAATTGATGACACCAAGAGCCATCCGCACTCATGTAGACGCAATACATCCAGATGTACGTTTCTGACCTTGTTGAGAAGATGATTTCACCCTTTCACTGCCGGCGCTGTTTTTGCAATTTTTGCACACGTTAAAATAATTTTCGGTCTGAAAGTTACACAAAAACCCCCCAAACATGATGTGTTTTCTGAAAGTCGACACCTCAGGGAATAAAATAGTGGTAGTTCCAAATTTTTTTTATGTGACACGATATTCCCGCAAAGATCTGAGAAACACAAAATTTCAGTAAGAAACACATTAAAGTGAATTGTAGGGCAAACACATGCTGTAAATTACACACATTTTTTGTAAAGTATAAAAGATGAGGTTGCACCGAGTTAATAGATACCCAACATGTCAACCCTTAAAGCAGGGGTGGGCAACTGTGGCCCTCCAGCTGTTGGGGAACTACAAGTCCCATCATGCCTCTGCCTTTGGGAGTCATGCTTGTAACTGCCAGTTTTGCAATGCCTCATGGGACATACTGAATGCTGGGTCTGGGGAGAGCGGATATAGTGAATGCGGGGTCCGGGGAGAGCGGATATAGTGAATGCGGGGTCCGGGGAGAGCGGATATAGTGAATGCGGGGTCCGGGGAGAGCGGATATAGTGAATGCGGGGGTCCGGGGAGAGCGGATATAGTGAATGCGGGGTCCGGGGAGAGCGGATATAGTGAATGCGGGGTCCGGGGAGAGCGGATATAGTGAATGCGGGGTCCGGGGAGAGCGGATATAGTGAATGCAGGGTCCGGGGAGACCAGATATAGTGAATGCGGGGTCCGGGGAGAGCAGATACAGTGAATGCGGGGTCCGGGGAGAGCGGATATAGTGAATGCGGGGTCCGGGGGAGCGGATATAGTGAATGCGGGGTCCGGGAAGAGCGGATATAGTGAATGCGGGGTCCGGGGAGAGCGGATATAGTGAATGTAGGGTCTGGGGAGAGAGGATATAGTGAATGCGGGGTCCAGGGAGAGCGGATATAGTGAATGTAGGGTCTGGGGAGAGCAGATATAGTGAATGTAGGGTCTGGGGAGAGAGGATATAGTGAATGCGGGGTCCGGGGAGAGCGGATATAGTGAATGTAGGGTCTGGGGAGAGAGGATATAGTGAATGCGGGGTCCGGGGAGAGCGGATATAGTGAATGCGGGGTCCGGGGAGAGGGGATATAGTGAATGCAGGGTCCGGGGAGAGCGGATATAGTGAATGCGGGGACCGGGGAGAGCGGATATGGTGAATGCGGAGTCCGAGGAGAGCAGATATAGTGAATGCGGGGTCCGGGGAGAGCGGATATAGTGAATGCAGGGCAGACGGGGTCCGGGGAGAGCGGATATAGTGAATGCGGGGACCGGGGAGAGCGGATATGGTGAATGCAGAGTCCGAGGAGAGTGGATATAGTGAATGCGGGGTCCGGGGAGAGTGGATATAGTGAATGCGGGGTCCGGGGAGAGCGAATTTAGTGAATGCGGGGTCCGGGGAGAGCGGATATAGTGAATGCGGGGTCCGGGGAGAGTGGATATAGTGAATGCGGGGTCCGGGGAGAGCGGATATAGTGAATGCGGGGTCCGGGGAGAGCGGATATGGTGAATGCAGGTTCCATATAAAAATAGGCAGCAATACAGGTGCCGAAAATAGCCCCCCCAGTCACCCCCCTTCTGGTGGAGAACATTCCAACAATCCCGGCGGCTGGGCATAGAGATCAGTCAAGGAAAGATGGCCTCCACTCACCTTTATGCCCTTGGAGGACTAGAGCGACGCCATTCTGGTTCCGGCACTGACTCCCCCCCCCCCCCCCCCCCCCCCGTATTTCATACAATTATATATTATATTTTGTATTTAAAAATATACTTTATATTTAATTTACAAATGTTCCTGATGTCTTCAGGCTGGATCCATGATGGGTGGGGTCCTCTTCACTTCTCTGGTGATGGGTGGTTCAGGGAGCAGAGCTAAGATGATGATGCCAGGGCTCTCTCTGCACCATTATACTGACTGCGCGGTTCCCTGGTGATGACCCCCCCATGTTGTAGATCCATGATGGCATGTCCTAAATCACCTGGTTTGAATGTTTCCCAGACTGAGGACATCTAGTTATGAAAAGGAATCACTGCAGTGAACAAGGTTGGAGAGCAGGTGAGTATTGTGGCCGGAGCTTTACTTTTTTATTATACGACTTCTTGGGCATCCCATTGTTGGAACCTTCCAATAAAGTTTTAAACCAGTCTGTGTCCTTTTCTTATAGTTGAGACCCTTTGTTGCCTTTTGCCCCTTCCCCAGTGGTGTGTCTTCTTCCCAGTGGTTTGCCCCTTTCCCAGTGGTTTGCCTCCTTCCCAGTGGTTTGCCTCCTTCCCAGTGGTTTGCCCCTTCCCCAGTGGTTTGCCTCCTTCCCAGTGGTTTGCCCCTTCCCCAGTGGTTTGCCCCTTCCCCAGTGGTTTGCCTCCTTCCCAGTGGTTTGCCCCTTCCCCAGTGGTTTGCCTCCTTCCCAGTGGTTTGCCCCTTCCCCAGTGGTTTGCCTCCTTCCCAGTGGTTTGCCTCCTTCCCAGTGGTTTGCCCCTTCCCCAGTGGTTTGCCTCCTTCCCAGTGGTTTGCCCCTTCCCCAGTGGTTTGCCCCTTCCCCAGTGGTTTGCCTCCTTCCCAGTGGTTTGCCCCTTCCCCAGTGGTTTGCCTCCTTCCCAGTGGTTTGCCCCTTCCCAGTGGTTTGCCTCCTTCCCAGTGGTTTGCCCCTTCCCCAGTGGTTTGCCTCCCTTCCCCAGTGGTTTGCCTCCTTCCCAGTGGTTTGCCTTCTCCAATGGTTTGCCCCTTCCCCAGTGGTTTGCCTCCTTCCCAGTGGTTTGCCCCTTCCCCAGTGGTTTGCCTCCCTCCCAGTGGTTTGCTTCCTTCCCCAATGGTTTGCCCCTTCCCCAATGGTTTGCCCCCTCCCCAGTGGTTTGCCCCTTTCCCAGTGGTTTGCCTCCTTCCCATTGGTTGGCCCCTTCCCCAGTGGTTGGCCCCCTTCCCAGTGGTTGGCCCCCTTCCCATGGTTGGCCCCTTCTCAGTGGTTTGCCCCTTCCCCAGTGGTTGGCCCCCTTCCCAGTGGTTTGCCCCTTCCCTAGTTGTTTGCCCCTTTCCCAGTGGTTTGCCTCTTTCCCTTCCCCAATGGTTTGCCCCTTTCCCAGTGGTTTGCCTCCTTCCCAGTGGTTTGCCCCTTCCCCAGTGCTTGGCCCCCTTCCCAGTGGTTGGCCCCCCCCTTCCCAGTGGTTTGCCCCTTCCCCAGTGGTTTGCCTCTTCCCAGTGGTTTGCCTCTTCCCAGTGGTTTTGCCTCTTCCCAGTAAGGTATTATGAAATGGGTTGAAAAAAGAAATCATGTGAAATAGTTTACATTGTCAATGTTCGATACCCGGTACCACGTCTGCCTTCCCTTTTCCACGAATTTTGAGTTATTTTCGCAACTTCCAGTGCATGCTGTTTGTTCCCTGTTGCAGAGATTCCACTTCAGATCCTTCGAACAAAAACAGGAATTGAGAGGAAATCTCTTCAGTTTGTGTAAACTCCATACTTACAACATATAAATGTCATCTGGACTGGTGTCCCCATTGGAAGATTCCCCCTCGCCTCCTGTTTCTGCTGTAAATATTTGGGATTTCTCATCACTTTCTGTCCTGTCGGTGACAGCGCTCTCCAGGATAATGTGAGTGACTCTGACTGAGAAGGCAATAAAAAAACACACAAAGGACTTATAACCCTTCCTTCTCAATCCAATACTAAAGAAATGTGTCAGATATATACAGTGAAGGAAATGCGTATTTGCTTCCCTGCTGATGCTGAATGTTCGCCCCTCACAAAGAAATGATCGGTCTACAAATCGAATGTTCGGTGTATTGTAACACTGAGAGACAGAATACAACAACAAATTCAGCAGAAATGCGTCTAACAAATGATGACTGATCTGCATGTTCATCAGGGAAATAAGGATTTGATCCCCTTCACAAAACATGACTTAGTACTTGGTGGCAAATCCCTTGTTGGCAATCACAGAGGTCAGACGTTTCCTGGAGTTGGCCCCCAGGTTTGCACACATCTCAGGAGGGATTTTGGCCCACTCCTCTTGGCAGATCCTCTCCAAGTCGTTAAATTTTGGTGGCTGACATTTGGCAACTCAAACTTTCAGCTCCCTCCACAGATTTTCAGTCGGATGAAGGTGTGGAGACTGGCTAGGCTACTCCAGGACCTTAATGTGCTTCTTCTTGAGCTGCTCCTTGGTTGCCTTGGCCGTGTGTTTTGGGTCATTGTCATGCTGGAACACCCATCCACCACCCATTTTCAATGCCCTGGCTGAGGGAAGAAGGTTCTCACCCAAGATTTGAGGGTACATTGCGCCATCCATTGTTCCTTTGATGCAGTGCAGTTGTCCTGTCCCCTTAGCAGAAAAACCCCCCAAAGCAGAATGTTTCTACCACCATGTTTCACAGTTGAGGGGGTGTTCTTGGGGTCATAGGCAGCATTCCTCCTCCTCCAAACATGGCGAGTTGAGTTGATGCCAAAAGCTGGATTTTGGTCTCATCTGACCACAACACTTCCCACCAGTCCTCCTCTGCATCATTCAGATGTTCAGTGGCAGACTTCAGACGGGCCTGGACATGTGCTTTCTTGAGCAGAGGCACCTTGTGGCACTGCAGGATTTCAGTCCTGGTCGGCGTAGTGTGTTACCAATTGTTTTCTTGGTGACTGTGGTCCCAGCTGCCTGGAGATCATTGACAAGATCCTCACGTGTAGTTCTGGGATGATTCCTCACTGTTCTCATGATCATTGACACTCGACGAGGTGAGATCTTGCATGGTGCACCAGACCTAGGGAGACTGACACTTGTTTTGTGTTTCTTCCATTTGTGAATGATTGCACCAACTGTTGTCACCTTCTCACCAAGCTGCTTGGCTATAGTTTGGTAGCCCAGTCCAGCCTTGTGTAGGTCTACCATCTTGTCCCTGACATCCTTGGACAGCTCTTTGGTCTTTGCCATGGTGGAGAGTTTGGAATCTGATGGTTTGATTGCTCCTGTGGACAGGTGTCTTTTATACAGGTAACACAATGAGATTAGCAGCACTCCCTTTAAGAGACTGCTTTTAATCTCAGCTTGTTACCTGTATGAAAGACACCTGGTAGCCAGAAACCCTGCTAAATGATAGAGGATCAAATCCTTCTTTCTCTCATGAACATGCAGATCAGTCATCATTTGTTAGACGCATTTCTGCTGAATTTGTTGTTGTATTCTGTCTCTCAGTGTTACAATACACCAAACATTCGATGTATGGACCGATCATTTCTTTGTGAGGGGCAAACATTCAAAATCAGCAAAGGAAGCAAATACTTATTTCCTTCACTGTAGATGTATACGAGGGTTCCTTGAAGAGTTTCTGCACATTTTTTTTACATATATATGTACAAAAGTGTGGAAACTTTTTGAAAGAGAGCGGACAGCAGAGCGCGGACAGCGGAGCGGACACAGACCTGTCGTTCGCTTGCTCAGCAGAGAGATACCAAGCTGATCCACTGATAGGTCCGCCCCGTATAAAAGGGGCCTATGGGTTGACACTAGAACAGCCCTAGAGGGGAAATCTTCCAATGGAAACACTAGTTCTGGTGCCACACCGGTATTTCCTCGCTTTGAAGGGGTTTCCTCTCACTTCCTGTTTTGGCTACGGGACAGGACGTGAAGGGAAATCTCCCAAATGGAAACACAAAACTGCCTTACTCTACCCAAAATTTTTAAAAATTGCCCTTTTATGTAGCTGCTCGGCATGTCCTGTTGTCCTGGTGGTGTAGGTTCTGCCACAATACTGACTCACCAGAAGTTGAACTTTCCACATACTACCATTACTAGGAAAGCCCTGACTACACAGCGCCATTTATTATGTAACTTTGGAAAGTATTGGCTGTCAGTGGTGATGAATGTGTGTCCTATTAATGAGGGTGTGTGCTGACAGTCACTTATTCTCTGTATGTTTATTGGAATTAGTTTCAATCAATTCGCAGAGATTAGTTTTCTCTTTGACATCAGAGGAGATTCTGCCGATCAGCGTATTGGCGGCCATACATGCTTCAGTAAATGATTCATTTCTCTTCTAATCGATCTCTTCCCCGGATTATTCTATAGTCGACAACCCATTCGATCAATAGGTCACACATCGGAAAGTGGAGTTTGATCGATATTGGAAGCTGTGGCCATAAGGCATTGATCAAATCCCTATTTTCATAATCTCATCAATTAAAGTATGATTGAATTAATGAAGAAAGAATCTCGATTTTGATGATCGGGGCAAAAGCATACGGTCAAAAGCATTGGTACATCTGCCCCCCCCGGTCGATCAATTTGGTTTGATCCAATCCGATCTTAATCGAGTCTTTTGATCAGAAAC